GGGAGTCAGGAGTAGGACGGGCTGGCAAGGCTGGTATCATAGGGCAGTGACAGCACTGGACAGGGCCAGGGCAGAGCTATAATTCATTGCCTACATGCCCCTGCAATGGGCACTGGTTCCATGGGCAAGGGTGTGCAGGGAGCAGATCGTGGCTCTGCCCCATCCCAGCCACCCAGCAGAGCACCCAGGCCCACATGGTTCTGTCCCCCAGCAGTGGGTGCAGGACAAATGGGTCAGGGTGCCTAGGCAGCCGGGCTGGGTCCAGCAGCAGCAGCCAAAATAAGCCGCTATCACAGGGGCTACTGGGAAATGGAGTCCAGTTGTCACACCACGCCAGCCCTACACATACCACAGCCCAGGCTGCTTCCTATGCCTGGACGGGGCCCGCAGGCCATATTTTGCCCACCTCTGCCTTAAACCATTTGCAGAAATTCACTAGGCTCAGAAAATGTTTATTATAAGGTTAAACTAGTACTTCAATACCTTGCACGTGGTTTGTTAGGTGACAGGTCTTTCCTTGCTGTAATATGTTTCCTCAGTAAATAAGACAAAAGCATTGACCTGATACGATTTAAAGATGCATCAGTATTCACAGCGTTTACCAACAAATCTTCAAAGGTAAGAGAATCACTTTGGTCTCAGGTTGGAGTGGGGGGGAGGGTAAATCAAGCAGTGCCTTTATATTACATTTCCTTTGCCAGGAAATGAAAGTCAAGTATTGCCATGTTCATTCAGATCAGATGTTACCATAATTAGAAAAAAAAGAATCACCCGTAGATGCTGCTTGATTTTGGTTTTCATGTGGTCTGTTTACACAGGAGGCAGTAAAATTTTATTTTTACAAATTTGTTCAGATGGTAACATATTTTCCATTAAAAGAAAGTCTTTTGCTTAAGAGAGTCAGACACATGGCTGAGAACTTGAACCAGAGAGGAGTAATACCCCTGCCTTTTTCAGTCACAGTCTAGGTTCGTCTGTTACACTCGTGACTAGAAAGTCCTGTCAAATGGATAGGAACAAGTATATGCTCTTTTTTCCAACACCTGCCTTGCAACCTTTTTAATGCTGCTGTCCATATTTTCTTCAGAATCTATGGAAAAGATAGAAAGAAGTTAGCATAATTCTGTTCTTAAAACAGAATGGGCAGATACTGCGACCATTCTTTCCAAAAGAACCCCTCAAACATCCAACTACAACTACCTGTACCAATGCCTGCCACAGCATCATTTCTGCTAGACAATGGGGAAGTCTGGAAGTCTCAACTCTAATTCAACTGCAATTAGCATGCTCCAGAGACTGGAAGGGTATGGGCTCCCCTAGGCTGCATTTATTATATGGTATACTAGAGCAGCATCTGTCTGAACATGTATGTTTCAGCAGTCTAGATAGAACTGCAGTTCCACTGAAGTAAACAATATGATGGATTAGTTTTGGCTTTCTAAGATGCCATTACTGTTGAAGAGGTAATGGATTTATTTTAACTGACCCCCAAGACAAGACACTCAATGCTTGGTCAGTCCTGGGCATCTAACTCTCTTTAAGAGATACTACTTATCATATGTTAATTTATTACTGCCAGTGAAGGAGAACTATGCCTAGATGCACACTTTTGTTATGCCCCTTTGCCAAGTGATGGATATCAGCTGCAGTAGAAATGAGAATTGAGAGTCCAAAATTTTAAGCGAACTGTTCAGAGAACAGTGAACGTAGGTATAGCAGAACAGCTGGTCTGCCTACAACTGATGTCTCCAGACTTTCTAGAAGCTCAGTCAAAACTTTAAGGCCCAGGCCCAAAAGGGCAGCTCTCCCTCACCAATTAATTCTGCAAGTAGCAGATAAGGCAGAGCAAAATTTTCACATTGCTTTAAAACCAGAGCAGTGCTGACACACTGAGAACTGAAGCTATTTGAATGCTTATTGTTACAGCAAGAATTACCACACGGCACTATTAGAGTTTCATATATACCTTGAGCCTCCTAATATATTATTTCATTGCCAATGGTTTACTTAAAGGTTTGGAGCCACAAGCTTATACATTCCACGTTACACAGAACTTACATTTTTCTAACTCAGCTATGGCATAATTATTTTTGAAAAATGCCTCTTTGCAGAACAGGTTTGTAAGAAGCACCTGATAAAAAAAAAATCCAGAGAGAAAGGTTTGTGTTAGTATCAAATATAAAAGTTTCCCCAACAGAATAATATGCTACCAACTCAATGTCCAACTGGTTGTATTGTCGCTTCCCCTGTTAGTATAACCTACTATGCAAGTTTTAATGGTTTTCATTTTTCTACAGCAACTGCTTCCTATAAATTGAATGACCTATGCCTGAAGACTAACTAGAAGATCGTCCTCAGTTACAAGTCCAGAAGTGATTTCCAAAAACGTGTCAAGTTTCAAGGTCATTAAAGAGAGAAATGTTATTTATTCTAGGTCTACTGCTCAATTAAGTCACTATTTGTTTTCCATTCAACACAATTTTTTTCCAGAAATGATTAAATCAATTAGACACCCTGATGTGCCTGCCAAGGCTGTATTTTCTAATGACAGTTTGAGTAAGGTTGTACATTTAAGCTGCCAATTAAGCATGGCACTAGCCAAACAATTATGAACACACACTTAGGCAATTGCTTTAATAATTGATTAAAAAAAAAAAAAAAAAAATCAGCATGGGGACACAGCAGTCATGACTCAATGTCCACAGAAACTGAAGGAAGAATTTACCTCATTCTCCTCATTTTTCTTCCTTGTTTGTCTCTTAATAACGTCTAACTGTATTTTCAGGTTTACTAAACAATTGTTTTCTATGTATTTCACGTTGAGACCCAGATGAAAAGCAAGGAAATCATGCTCCTGTGAAGGCTGAGACAGTTATATACCATCTGCCCATTTAAAAATGCCTTCTTATGAATGGAAAATTCAGGTCCATTGCGTGAAATGAGCACATTCTTGAGTTGAGGTAACAATTGGCTTGTGTTAGTTTATGGTCAACTCAAAAAGGAATAAAAATACATGCAGACTGGAACAGTTTAAAAGCACTTTCCTGTCATGCAGATCACTCAGCACCATCGTTCTGGTGGGGCAGAAGGATCCCTGGTGTCAGCATTTCTGAAACCGAACATTTTACCCAGAGACCGGGCTTGACGCACATGCAGTGGTTACCTTGATGCTTTTACAATGGGCTTCTGAAGTTAAGGTGCGGGCTGGGAGAGAGATTTTTCCAAGAACTTTGGTCTGCAAAAACTCCTTAAGATGATATCATTCTAATAGCCTAGCACACTGTCAGTGACATAAAATATGAGTACACTTACTTCATGGTCATGATTGCGTAGACCAATACTGATTGACCGACTAGCCCTGGAAATAGTTGCAGTCATCGCATACAAATGAATGACAATATCTGCCACTTTCTTCAGAATCAGCTGTTCATCCACTATAGTCTAAGACAGGAAAGATCCAAAATTAATTTAACAGCTTATATAATATCATTTCAAAACTAGTTACACTGTGATAGCCACCTAATAGCACCATTGTGGGCTTCATTAAGGAATTCATGCTTTTGTGACTGGTTTCCTTTTTTGGTACAGCCAGTCAAGCTCTTTCAAAATTTACACTTGTTTTCCCAGTTTCTTCATATTTATTATTTTTACTCCTTAGTAATAGGTGTCAAACAGGACTATGAGCTACATCAGGGGTTTTCAACCTTTTTTAACAAGTGTACCCCTTCTGTCTCGAAGTTTCAGTTTATGTACTTTATATTTTTTCTTGTCTTTTAAGGTGGGGGTGCAGATCGAGGCCCTGCAGTGAGGGAGTAGGGCAGGTGCTGCTCAGCTGGGGCGGGGCGGGGCTGGAATGGAACCCCAAGCAACTTGTTCAGGGGGCATGGGGAGGGGGGTGGTTCCCAATGCTATGCGCACCCCAGCAGGGCATGGGGGGCTTGTACCCCGGGATCTGTGTGCAGGGTGAGGGTGGGCTGCTGCTGCGGGGCGGGGGGGTAGATTGAGGCCCCAATGGTGGGGAGGGAGTGGGGCTGGGACAGGGGCAGGGGCTGCCCAGCGCTGGCAAGGCACAGGACTGAGCTGCATGGTGGGGGGCAGGAGAAGGCTCCTGCTGCTCTGCGCACTCCACAGCATGGGGGCATGTGCACCCAGATCTGCGCATGGGGCATGGGTGGGCTTCCGCTGCAGGCCAGGTGGTGGCAGTGCTGGGAGGAGGGTTGAAGGTGGGGGGCTACAGCGAATTCTGGACTGGCTGCAGCCCCGCCCCCCATAGGTCCCCATGGTGAAGGAGAGAGTGGGGCTGGAACAGGGGCAGGCACTGCCCAGCTGGGACGGAGCACAGGATGGAGTCGCAAACAGCTCATCCGGGGGGCACAGGGGATGGTGGCTCCTGCTGCTACACCCTCTTCCAGCACTGCCGCCACCTGCCCTAAGTGTAGCACGGCCCAACCCCTCTTCTGGGAAGCGTCTGGCACTGCCTCCCAGCCCACAGCACCAGCCTGCCGTCCCTCCCCATGCAGATTCTGGGCACATAGCCCACATGCCCTTGAAGGGGGAAGGGGCAGGGGGAAGGGAAGGCTGCACCGGGCTCTTCCCAGCGGGGGCGGGTTTGGCCACACTGCGCTTGGGATGGGTGGTGCTAGGAGGGAGGTTTGGGAGCCAATGGCAAAGTTTTAGGTGCCTGCAGTCCCCTCCATAGCTCCACTCCCAGTGCCACCACCGCCCACCCTGAGCACAGCCTGGCCCAGACCCCTGCCGGGAAGAGCCCAGTGTGGCCCCAGCCCGCCCTGCTCTGCATGCAGATGCAGGGGCACACGCCCCCCATGCCATCCCAGGGTGCGTGCAGTGGCAGGAGCTGCCCACCCCACGTGACTCAGTCCTGAGCCCCACCCCAGCAAGGAAGCCCCTTCCTCAGCCCCGCTCCCTCCACCCACAATAAGCTTACCAGCTAGACCTGGCTGCTTTCGACGTGGCCAGGCTGTGCTCCTGGCTGCCTACCTGCTGCACTGCGGCTGCGTGCAGTCAGAGTTCTGCGTACCCCCTACAACCCTTAAGTACCCCTAGGGGTACACATACCCCGAGTTGACAACCACTGGGCTAGATCTTCAAAGACTTAAATGCTGAAGCCAAAAACTTAGAACTACAAAAGTCTATCTAGTTAGCTCCTGTGTTTGCTTCTCCACAGGTTCTAAGTTATTTGCCCAGCTAAGGGCCACTCACACTTCAACCCAATTAAGATCCAAAGATGAAAATGCCTATTCCTCATGCAGGGCCCAAAGTGACAGGTGTGAGACATGCCAGGGTGAACTCACACCTTCAGATTCAACCTCCTCTCTGTTGTCTGCTGCTTGGCCACTGAGAACAAGCTGCTGTTTATAGCATGCTTCAGGCATTGCTTGGAGATCACAAGAAGAGTTCTGCAGCTCACAATAGATCAAAATCAGAGAGGACCATGCTCGGCAAGAGAACAAAGCTCCACAGCTGACCTAGTTGTAAAAGATGACTAAAGGAACTAGGATAAGCTTGATAGGATGACAAAGGGGAGTTTTGGCTCTTTAGTTAAAGGGGTGATATGTTAAACTGTGGTTTTGTGGTCCTCAGGCTGCAGGACAGTGGAGGGTGTTTGGTTTCTCCAGCTTTTGGGCTTTGGTGGTTGCCACATGGGACTGAGAAGGAATTTTTTTCCTCCTTCTGTTGCTATGTGCATCAGGAGCTCCGTTCTTCCTCAGAAGCATTGGATGTTGGCTGCAGACAGACTGGGGATTTTGACTGGGATGTCCCAGTGCTTCATGGAGGGTCTGCTCCTTTACTCAGGGTCTGAGTAATTGCCATATTTGGGATCAGGAAGCAATTTCACTCAGATCAGCATGGACTGTGGAGGTTTCTCTTCTCTGTTGTGGGGGAGGGGGACATGACTGGTCTGCCTTCCTTGGATCTCAAGAATATTTTCACACTCACTTCCTATCCTTGCAGTGGCAGGTTGCTGACAGTACCCTGGTGCCCATTTTGCCTTTGGCACATCAGGGAGGTTTTGGTGTTTTTGGGCAACATGCATGGTAGTTGTACATGGGGGTGTTCATGCAGTTTTTAGAACAGGTAAAACAAACACGTGTGTAGCATGGTTTAGACAGGGATGTGTCTGCCTTCAGCAGGGGGTTGGACTAGATCTCCTGAAGACCCTTCCAGTCCAACTCCTGTATTCTGCAGAATAGGGCACTCTCTTGGGAAGGAGAAAAATGTGGGTCTCAGTCTTTATTCCAGTGAATGTGTAAGTATTTCAAATTAAGTAGCTCTTAGGGCTGCAGAGACTCCTTGCCTACCTTTTGGCAGCTGATTTAAGAAAAACTGCTATTTTTGCATAGGCTGCCCACCACCAGCTGAAGCAGTTGTGTATCATTCTGCAAAATGTTAGGCAGGAACATGGGTCTTTGTAGGAAGCAAAACCTATTTATACTCCCCTGAGCATTCTGATAAGTTATGCCAAGTTGTAAAAATGCAAAGAAACCTGATTACCTTGCCAAACCTCCTCAGCGAGCCTTCTACTACCTGTCCAAAATAATATATATTTTCTTCAAGCTGCTTGCCACTTTCCTATAAGAAAAACCAGAACATGTATTAGAAATAATTAATGAATCCTAGATCCACCTTACACAAGTACTCTAAGAAATGACAGACAAGCTTCTTAAACAACTGCACAGTCATGGGACTAGCCATCCCTTACAGATGTACTAGAAGGCAGGAGCAAATGTCATGAACTGCACTAGCTACTTTTTAATTTTTTTTTAATTTAAGAAAGACCAAGGGGAATGTGAAACTCAGTCCATTTAAAGCACCTTACTGCTGCTGTGCAAATGGGAAAGAAAAAAGAGAAGACAGACAGTTACAAAGAAGGAAAGGAAATGCTGGCCTGATCCCCACTGATTCTACTAATAACATTAGGTATAGGCCCACACAACACATGACCAGCTATGCCAAAAAACCAAAAAGCTTGGGGAATTTGGGGCTTCTTTATTTTTAAATAAAACACAAGTGATTTAACAAGTGTCACTTTGTTCTTGAGAGTCATTTTGCAGGCACTTACTTTAACTGCTGTTCCATGAAACGCACAGACACACGTGGAAAAACATGACATTTTTATTGCCTCATTTAACATTTTAGTATTCTCAGGACTTTTTATAATATCTTATGCTAAGGAAAAGAGCCAGCATCCTTAGCTAACATTAGTTATCTACAGTAAGACTAATGTCTGTGATCAAACGCCATATGCTTTGAAAATCCTGAGAATCATGATTTTCCAGTGCTAGATCATATATACTAAGTGATTTCTCTCAATCCCTGGCACCTGGCAGGAAAACTCTGAACACAGAGTTTGACTTGTAGCAACTAGGGCTGTGCGAAATTTCAACAGGTGTTTCATCTCGAAGCTGTTTCGATGCGTTTTGAGCTTGAAACAGTGAAACGAAAATGAAACAAAATGCTTTGGAACAGCTCCAAAACAAAACGAGGGCACTCGAAATGTTTTGAAATTTCTAAATGTTTTGCGTTTCGAAGCAGGCCAGTGGCAGGAGGCAGGGGAGAGCCAAGGCTGCACTCTGAGTGGCTCCAACAGCCCCACAGAGCTGAGCCTGGTGGCAGGAGGTGGCAGAGGAGTCAGTGGCGGAGCCACTCCGAGTGCAGCTCTGGCCAATGGCTCTCTGCTGCCTTCCGCTCCATGGGCTCTCTGCTGCCTCCCGCTGCCAGGCTCAGCTCCGTGGGGCTGCAGAGCCTCCCACCGCCGGGCTGAGATCCATGGGGCTGGCAGAGCTGCTTGGAGTGCGGCCCTGGCTCTAAGCACAGCCCTGGTGAGCTCAGCCTGACAGCAGGGCTCCGCTGCCTCCTGCCTCCAGGCTCAGCTCTGTGGGGCTGCGGAGCCCCCCCCACAGAGCTGTGCATTATTTATTTTTATATATTTAAATATAAATAAATAAAAATATAACTTTATCTCCAACACTATGCAGTACAAACTCTGAATGACATTATTCCAAAGCAAAAGCTTGTGATTTACCACACAGTTCATTGGGCTGCTTTAAGCAACTCCTGCCTCCAGGCTCAGCTCTGTGGGGCTGCGGAGCCCCCCCCACAGAGCTGTGCATTATTTATTTTTATATATTTAAATATAAATAAATAAAAATATAACTTTATCTCCAACACTATGCAGTACAAACTCTGAATGACATTATTCCAAAGCAAAAGCTTGTGATTTACCACACAGTTCATTGGGCTGCTTTAAGCAACAGTCAACAGTATTTCAAGCCACAGTGACCCTACAGCTCAGCATTGCTCAGTGTGTGTGTGTAATCCAGATATCCTCCACAAAAGATCCATGTGCTATTTAGCCTCCCCCACTCATGACTGGAACCAAGTGTTCTTGTCACAAGTCCTGTGATGCTCCAAAAATTTATATGCAGATGAGGCACAAGGCAACCTAGTCTGGCTCTACCTCATGGAGGGAGGGCCCACACTAATTATATATGTGCCAGGCTGAGGGGGCGACAGGTGAAACGTATGCAATGTCAGTGGTGAAGGGGACTGTGCTTATTAGGCACTACCATATACTTTATTCAGATACGCTACACAAAACTATTATTGTGGGGGGTTCCCATCAGCATGTTTGTCAAATGTGGGCCACGTGTTTTATAGTCACGCTTAGTGTTGTCTGCATTTAATCTACTTCATGGTTGGTTTCCATTGCTGAGCACATGCTGTTTTTGGCAACAGTTTAATAACAGGCAATGTATTTAGTGAGATTTCCTTGTATGCAACTATAAGGGCTTTTTCCCTCATACCAGTTGGGTGGAAGTGTCTTGTATTCCAGCAAATATGGTAATATACCACCCACAATGAAAACAGAGCACAGTCTGTTACAGTAAAAAATACAAGTAACATCTGATCAAGCCTGTGACAGTGGAGATCAGGATGTACCAACCTAGGAGTAATCTTGTAATATTAAACTCCCCTACATAAGTTGAATGTTAGCAAGTCCTTATATCCGAGCGCGCTCTGGATCTAAAAAGTATTACCTGGAGGACTGAAGTATTTCACATATGATAAAAAACAGCTTGCTATGTTTTCTTATGATGGGCCACCAAAACTGTAGTCTACTTTGCTGCTGTAACCAGGTCAAATGTGTGCCACTGTACCAAGGTAGCTATTTACAGTGTAAGGCAGTCCTTCTGACCATACATAAAATAGAAATCCTTATCTAGGACCAAAGTATTATTAAACAGGAGAGCAATTAAAGAAAGGGCAGGTGCAGTAAGCAAACTGGCATTGTGGGTGTACAAAAGATGAACAAGAAAATGCTTCTGCTATGATTGATACAGTGTTAGTACACCCCAAATGCCATTTTCCTGTAAATGCCTAGTTTGTATACTATAACAAGAGTGGCCAACCTGAAGCATGCAAACCACAAATGGCACAGCAGCCTCTGTGTGGGGCACATCACAGATCAGGAAGCAGACAGGAACATAGCAATAGATACAGGATTTCACTAAGAACCATTTGAGACTGCAACAGGAGTATTTTTATAGGAGCAATATCTGGTAAAAATAGGATCCCTTTATGCATTTCTGACACACAAAATTTGGAGATACGGCAGCTGCCAAACACAGAACCTCACAGGGCAGCAGTTCAGCTCCAGCAGGCAATTGGGCAAAATTTTCAAAAAGAAGGCAAATACTCCATTTATCAAGTAAATACTTGTTTTAGAACACAACATTTTTATAACCCTTTCACTTAAACAACATACATCACATGTGCATAAAGTCCTCAGTCCTGCAGTGACTTATATGCCTCTAACTTCAGGAACCTGAGTAGGTCCCATTCAGTTTAACTGGCCTACTTGCATGCTTAAAGCAAGCTACACTGGGATGTAATTCCATAACAAACAATGGAAGGAGCTCCCCCCCCATTTCCCCCAAAAAGATGTGAAAAGCCAGATTATCTACGTGTACCACTTGTCTCAAGATAAACAAACTGGGATCTGGTAACACTGGCCATTAGGTGTTTGGGTTTTGGGGTTTTTTTGGGGGGTGGGGGGGTTGTTACTTACCTCTAGGCTGGGATGTATCACACCCTTATCACCAACCAGTCCTAAATCAACTTTTCTGCCTATCGAGTCCTGGAATTGTCCTAGAAATGCTGTCAGTATGAATGGAACCTTCCGTTGCTTGAATTCCCTGAAGAATTTGCAAAAACAATGCTGTGAAGACTACATTTGCCCCTCAGCCCCCATCACATACATAGGAAAAGAACTAGGTGACAGGGGAGAGAAAATAAAAAACAACATATACACAAGAAGTTGCATGCCAAACAAAGAGCTGGTATGAAGCAGGGACCTGAACATTTTAAACTGGCTTGCGCAAGTCCCATCTCTGACAAACTGAACAAGTTTCTTTCCCTGAAACAACTCCTCGTTGCTCCATTTCTGAATGGTGATGACACTGGTGTTTGGCTTTGAGTTGCTGCAAGCTCTTTGGAGCAGACTGGTCTTGCTTTTGACTGCCAATGTAGCTGCAAAGCTGTACCAGCTGTCACATTTGTACTGGCTCAGCATAAAACAGTGTGTTGTACTAGGTTTGAGCAGTGACAAGCACACTGAGTGCTTCACAAAACCACCAAAAGCACACTGGGTGCTTCACAAAACCACCAAACACCACCAGCATTTCTCAACCTTTCTAGATTCAAGGTACCCTCTATAAGTTCTTTAAAAATTAGCAGCACCCCAGTTGAGAACAACTACTGTGCTACTTCAGCTGAATCCAGGGCTCTGCTGCTACAACTGTACCTCATGCACAGTCAGGTGAGCCTAAAGCAGGCGGAAAAGCCCTCTCTTGCCAGCGGTTCCACCTGCCCCATGCACCTATTTCTGAGAAGAGAGTAGGAGGCCAGACTTGGAAGGGCTGTGGCAGAACCAGGTGCCCCTACCTCCTCATTTGGTTGTGTACAAGGCATGCACAGCTGTTCAACCTGGTTGCTCCAGCAATGGCACCAGCACTGTGACATCCCTGAAAAGGTCTCACACAGCAGCCTGGTTGAGAATTGCTGCTTTATACTGTGCAATTTGGTTAGCAGGTGTACAATATGCTAGGAGACAGAACACTAAGCTATCCTGCTAAAGATATGAGCATTATATTTCAGAGATGTTAGTATAGTCCACAGATAGGAGGTATAGTCACTTTTCTTATGGAATCCAGATAGTAGATACCAGAGTTCTCTTATGACTGACTTTTGGATGCTACAGCTATCTTTCAACAAGGTTAATTGTTAATGAGTTTCCTGATAAAAAATATTATTTACTAATTACAAGTATTACAGGAAAGACTTGTATCCTAGTCCATCCACATAAACTTGAGCCTTGTAATATGTGGGGCTTTTTACGCTTCTAAAATACTGGTTAACATTCTAAAATGTACATATGTTGCTTATTAACAAAAAGCATCACGTACTGCTGAATTGCCTTCTACAAAACATCGAGGTTGTTTGAACAAAACTCTTTATCCAGTTTCTGATTACAAAAATCTCTGCTTTCACCTACTGTTAACTGAAGAGTTTACTGATTATCAATTGTGATTAGAGGCAAATTAAGGATATAAGCAAGAAAAAAAACAACCCACATACTTTATTCTTTCAGTTAAGATTTTGCCTGCATACTGAATACCCGTCAGAGCAATATACGGTCGCAGAACTTCATTTGTTCCCTGTAAGAGATGGTACAAACAGTCATCACCATGTCCCCAACATTTTAGAACTAAAAATCTAGAGATACCAGGTGAATTTTTTTAAATAACCTCGCCTAAAACTAATTTGCAATTTTTATATGTCTGGTGTGTTCCATTGCCCAAACTCTGAAGGCCTGCCTCGGATCATAAATTCTCTACACAACACACCTCAATTATTCACACATCTTCTAAGTTACACACATTTAATGCAGTTCCAGTTTAGAGTAGCCATAATTAATCCACAGTACATCACTGCTAGATCTGATGGATACTATTCTGCTTTCAAGGAGAGATGAATGAGCTGCATATGCTTATCTTGTAACAATAAGAATTAATCGAAGTTTTCCTTGAAGCCACTGAGCTATTTTTGGTTTGAAACCAAGTATCTCTGGTGTTCAATGAAATTTTTCAGTCCTCTGCATTGCGTAGACATGCCATACAAGTTTCACTTTTCTAAATACTGAAAAATAAGATAACCCCCCAGTAATTAGATTCTATATATGGAAAATTTATAAATTTGTTATATTTTTCTAGGTATAGAAGCTAATTATAGAAGGTTTCCCTTGAATTTGTCCCCCTCCTATTGCTACAGCAGGGAAAATAAATCTGGGGGGTCAAGTAGCCTCCTTTCTTCTGCACCCTCCCTCCCAGCTTCTTCCCCCTGCAACCCCTTCCCACCCCTGCTTAATATCCAACCCTGCCCTCCTGAGCACATGGAAGCGAGGAGCAAATTTGAAAACACTGACCTTGAAATAAACATAGCTGCAGTAATTTGCATACGGTACCCAGAGACCAAGGTCATCCAGAATCAATGCATTTTACCTTTTTTTCAATTACTGCAATTTTTTAGCACAGGTACTACATAAACATACTTTTAAGCAGCACTTTTGTACCTACTGAGACATAGTACAAACTATTTTTTTTTGGAAACTTTTTCATGTTTCAGGTCAGATGAGCCAGATCAAATCTGAATCAGTTTGAATCATTCAAGAACTATATGTGGCCCTGCTACTGGCAAGTACCCAGCTTGAAGCTTCAGATACTTCCAAATCCTTTAGCAGAATCCTACATGCAGACCCAAGATTGGAGGCCTGGAGTTTGGATGCCCCTGAGTTTTGCCTGGCCTTAGCTGTATGGCCATGGAAGCAAGCTAGGGACTATGCATGACATTAGTCCCAAGCCAAAAGGCTCATGGTTTACCACACAGTTCATTGGGCTGGGCCCCAGCAGTCAAAATGTTCCGAGCCATGGTGATCCTCACAGCTCAGCACTGCTCAACATGTGCGTGTATCCCAGACTGCCGCCCCCCCAAGCAGCCATGTGCTAATTACCACCTCCCCACACCACACACACCCGTAACTGGAACTGGGTGTTCTTGTCAAGTCCTGGGATCCTCCAAAAATTTACATACAGATGAGGCGCAGGGCAACCTGGTCCGCCCACCTCACGGATGATGGGCCACACTAAGCATACGTACCAAGCTGAGAGAGGTGATGACAGAGGTTCTGAGTGAACTGTTTGGGGCCCCACTTGGTGATGTTTGCCAGAAATTTAAGACTGGTGAAGAAACAGAAATCACTGGAAGTGGGAAGGAAAGGTAAAAGGTACAGCTCAGCTGTGGGAGTGAAGAGGAAGTCAAAATGTATACAATGGAGTAGCTCGCTGTGACTTGAAAAAGAGTCAGCACTGAGGGGGACCACACTCAATGGGCACTACCATATATCTTATTCAGATGAGCTGCACTAACTTATCCTTGTGGTAGAGTCCTATCAGCATGTTTACTCAATGTGGGCCTTGTGTTTTAAAGTTACGCTCAGTGTTGGCTACATTTAATCAACTTCATGGTTGGTTTCTATAGCTAGGCACTTGCTGCTTTTGGCAGCAGTTTAATGAGAAACAATGTATTTAATGAGGTCTATGCAAATGTAAGACAAGAGGCTTTTATCCCCAGCCTGATGGGGAGGGGGAAGAGGGGGGTGGGGAAAAATGGAGCTTATCTTGTATTCCAATAAATAAGGTAAACAAAGCAATTACAATGTCACTGACTACCAACAGGTGCTTGATCTACAAGACAACCGCTAGAGCACTATAAAACCAACAGGCCTTTGTGCCACAGATTTAGTTTCTTTATTATACTGCTCTGAAAGTCTATTTTAATCAAAATCCACTTTCCTCTTCCACGGGTGCATTTCAGAAAATGATTTCAAGCTGTAATACATAATCTTATCCTGCACTAAATGTATTGGCTTTTACATTCAAATTGGATTGTTATGCTTTCCACAACCAGGCCTCAAAGCTTATGACTGCTATCACTGATTTGGAGAGCTCCGTAAGGTTATGCTAATATACTTGGAATTTTCCTTGAAGGAAGATAGAAGTGAATAAAAATGCTGTAGTAAACATAAGCACTCTGTCCATTCCTGCAGGATGGGCTGCTTTGTTTGATAGTGTCTTGCAAGGGCAAGACCACACCAAGTGAGATGCATTTGTTGCTCAAACTTTTTTTTCTCTCCAGATATAAAGGAAAACATTTTTTGAACTTGTTGAATGAGGCCCTTGACACACAAATAGATCACTGTGCAGCATGTACACATGCACAACCTCCTGGAGGGAGCACAACAAAGTCACTGCAAAGGCAGCTCACTCTCCACCCCTAGGCAGCACTTCAGTGAGCAAGACAGGCCCCACTGATAGGCTTGCCAGATCAGCTGAAGCCATTGCAGCCCTATAAGCCATTGCCCACAAGGTCTTCCAGGAGGCTCTGGCAGTGGCAGGGGGAACTGGATGCACAGCCAACCCTGCCAGAGCTCTGCAGTTCTGACTGCAGTGGTGGCTGCTGCAAAAGAAATTGCTCTGGCAGTCACACCGGTGATGGCAGGGTTCCTTGTAGGACTCCCTGATGACTCACTAGCTGGGCAGGCTGTAACAGAGCAATGTGTGCTCTCTCCCTCCCTCCTCCTTGGAGGATTGGAAGCCAAGTGGGGGGCAAAAGAGTACAGTGGGGCACTGGGGGTCCAAGTGCATTGTATATATGTAAGACACTCTCATGGACCCAGAGGGAGACAGCCTTCCATCTTCAGCTCCCTCTGCGCAAAAATTAAGTTTATTTCCTACCTATGGGGACTTTTTACCATCTTGTACCATCTATACTTTTCCCAGAGTCTGATGAAGGGACTTTGATCCCAAAAGCTTTCAGAAAAGGACAATTTTCTTGTGATTTCCCAGTTGATCTAATAAAAAGGTATCATTTTGGAACCAAGAGTTCTAGTTTTTTGTATGTCTTCTTGTCTCAGACCAACACAGCTACCAAGTACATTCCTCGTATGCATATTAAAATTTGACGCAGAAACTTTTTCACATGACAAAAGCTGCCGTCTAAAATAGCAACATTTCTGTCATAGATCTGCCATATATGCTGCTTTAGCCTGACAAGTGGTGTAAACACACTTTTTGTCATGTTAAAACAGCATTTAGAGACCAGAAAATGAGCTTTCAATTAGAGAAAAACAAACAGTGCAGGAGAAAGATGTTGAAAGCCAGAGCCCTTAAGCTATATCCTATGAATATCATTTCGCCTTGCAGAACAACTATACACCATCCGTTACAAGGAAGTCTCTTCACACTTTACCCAACCCAAACCACATGTACTGCTGGCTAATAGAACAATGACTATTGGCTTGGGTTATTCAAAGTGGAGACATTTTTACTCTGTACACAGGAAGGGAACTGTGTAAAACAGACTAGTTAAGGATTGGGATTCTCTCAATCCTTAACTAGTTGCAGTAAATTACCATTATTTCCAAACTTTGAGAGCAAAATAATTGTCTTTTTGAATTTCTAATAGCAAACACCAATATGATGAAGTATGCTTCATTCAGTTGGCAGAAACCCATGAAGTTCATCATGTTATTAGATGCTGCTCAACTCCTGTCCCAGCAAATTACAATATTCAGAGTATTCCATACATTTCTGCCAACCTTTTACTAGCATTATATATTGAATATGAGCAAAATATCAAGTGGTATCAAGTGGAGTGCCCCAGGGGTCAGTCCTCGGGTTGTTTTTGTTCATTAACTACCTGGAAGATGGGATGGAGCACACCCTCAGCAAGTTTGCAGATGGCACCAAGCTGGGGGCAGCAGTAGATATGCTGGAGGGTAGGGCTAGGATTCAGAGTGACCTAGACCAACTGGAGCACTGGGCCAAAAGCAATCTCATGGACTGCGTCCACATGTGCGTGGATGTTTGGTTCCCCTGGGACAACTAGCAGCCAAGCACCTTCTGCTTCTGCTAGTTGTCCCTGGGGAACACCTGTGCCACACACCCTCTGGTGCGCAGCAGGTTACCATGGGAAGAATCCCATGCACCTCTACAGCCTGTGGACTGACTGCCCAAACAGCAGCTCTCTGGAAAAGGACCTGAGGGTTACAGTGGTCAATAACCCCATCTGTAGTTCTGTGTCCAGTTTTGGGCCCCCCACTACAGAAAGTTGGAGAGAGTCCAGTGGAGAGCAATGAAATGGTTTAGGGGCTGGGGCACATGACTTATGAAGAGAGGCGGAGGGAGCTGGGTTTATTTAGTTTGGGGAGGAGAAGACTGAGAGGGGATTTGATAGCAGCCTTTAACCACCTGAAGGGGGGTGCCGAAGAGGATGGAGCTAGACTGTTCTCAGTGGTGACAGATGACAGAACAAGGAGCAGTGGTCTCAAGCTGCAGCAAGGGAGGTTTAGGTTGGATATTAGGAAAACCTCTCTTACTAGGAGGGTGGTGAAGTACTGGAACAGGTTATCCAGAGAAGTGGTGGAATCTCCATCCTTGGAGGTTTTTAAGGCTCAGCTCGAGAAAGCCCTGTCTGGGATGATCTAGTTGCGGATGGCTCTGTTTTGAGTAGGGGTTGTACTAGATGACCTCCTGAGGTCCCTTCCAATCTTAATTTTCTATGATTCTATGAACATTTTAAGAAACTGAAACCTCAATCTATGCACAGACAGTAAATTTTACTATGCCAAGTACTACCAGTGCAGTTGATGGGACTTAAATAACCAGATGCTGCTCATACACTTTAAAGTAAAGATAACAATGTTAGTTGGTTCTTTTCCCACAGCTGTCATTTGACAAAAAGGTAAAAAAATTCTTGCTGTCTTACAATAACTGAGGGTGTTGCAATTTTGCTTTACAAATTGCAGGTTTTCTTATAGTTCACACTTGTATACAACTTCCTCCCAAATTCCAAGAAAGTAAATGGGTTTTCTGTACTGCTTATATTTAAAAGTGGACAATATTTTATATTAGCAGCTCTGGGGGCTGACAGGTGGGGTGTGGAAAGAGCGAGCATCTATATTTTTACCTGGTATGCAAATTTATGCTCATTAAGTTTTACATTGCTGATCTACAGTCTCTTCAGAAATGTGGAAATAACAGAAATGTTGACAGACTTTAAATTACTGCAACATTAGCACGTGCCCCTTGCACATATCCAAGTTCTTTCACAATGAAATATTCACAAAGCTAGCTGAAACAGTTCTTCTCCTGCATAATTGCCCCCTGTTTTAATGGTCTGCATTACATGGTTATTATTTTTCGCATTTTAAGATACTGAATGTTTTACAGCCCCATCTACCATTTCTACCTTTCTGGAGTACTGTGTCCAGTCCAGCTGGAACTCTGCCAGCCATTTCCCATAGTTTTGTCCTCAAAATGAGAAAATCTGGGATTTACCACTTTTTCCGTCACGAATGGGAAACGTGCTAATTAATAAGGACAACAGTAAATTTTTTGTGAGCAGACCAATCTTAATGCATTTCACCAGGGTTCAAAAACTGGGACTAGGCCTTTTCTTCTCTTCATCCTTCTGCTATTGTCTGGCAAGATACTGTGATGGAGAGAGAAATAACTGATCCCCCATGACCTGGCAAGCCCTTTATAAACAGCTTTGACTGTAAAAACAGTATCTATGCACCTGTTTCCATCTTTTGGTAGTAGAGAAACTTCTGACCTAATTATTAGGATTTGGAGACAAGACTGAAGAGAAAACCCATTCAATTTGGAAGGTACCATTGAAAAGTTTAAAGAAAAGACTAACACCCCCTCCAAGCCAATGTTGAAGTTATCTTGTATTTAGTTGGACCAGAAAGTTTCCTTTCCTTCTCTTTACTATTGAAGAGGATCAACTGCCAATTTTATCCTTTTCCTTGGGGCTTTAATAGTTGATCACTTTATTAGTTCCCATTTTGTAATTGATAGTGGAATTCACTACAGTTAACTTAATGAATCAACCCCCCACCCCCCCCAACAACAGGTCTGGGAGATTGAATTCTACAGGGACAGAACATTCTAGGATGTTTTAATCTGTGGTTCAGAACTTTTGTTGCCCTTTTAAAATAGACACTGATCTCAAACACTAGAAATAACCATCATTTGTGAAACCTCTAGTATTTTTTCTAGATTTCTTACCAAATTTCTTATCCTTGTATTAAAAGCAATATCTCACATGACAAAGAATAAATACAGAGGGAAATCAGTATCATAATATCTTTGCTATATTACTAAAGTTTATCCTTATTAGTCTCCTTAATCATGCTTGTTTTATCAGCACTCAGAATATGCAGTGAAAGACAATTTGCATCATGTGAGCCAATTCATATCAAGTTGTAGCTAAAAAGTTTAAATTATGCATTTATAACTTTCTTAAACCTGAATCCCTTGGTTACTCTCAATGTCAAACCTGGAACAGCTACTAGCATTTCGGTCAAGATAGTCAAACTTTTAAAAATATTTTAAAAGGTGGTAATTACATAAATATCATTGTTCCACATCAATCCTTTCCTTCAGGCACAGATATGGCAGTTCCAGTGTGCCCCCAAAGGAGAAATTTCTTCAGTTTCTTCCTTAGACTCTTCACATCCTACAGCCTTTACTGTGGGAGCATTCCTTTCTCTAAAGCAAGCCTGGTAATTTCCAAGGGCATTATTCAACTTACCATAGTAAAAAAATTGCTAGCTCTACATGAACATCATTAATGTGTTTCAGAGTCCACTCCAAGGGAAAATAGTACAGTGTGTTTTACTTCAATCCAAACTTATGCCAATAATAGAAGGTGAATTAGTTCCAATTTACCAGAATAAAGAAGTATATTCATACTTGCCTCAAAGATCAGCAGGATCCTGCTGTCCCGGAGGTAACGTTCATAGGGGTAATCCTTCATATAGCCAAGTGCTCCAAAAATCTGTAACGCTTCACTTACACACATCCAACAAGCTTCAGAACTAAACACCTGCCATGGATATAATGCTTTAATTACCCTTACAGCACCTGCCAACTTAAATACAAAACTTAATTGCTTTATTCTTATATCCTGTATTAAAAGTAGGGATAAAACTCCAATAAATGAATTTAGATGAACTGTGTTTTTGCAATATTTTGCAATAAACCTTTTATCCCTGTTTAAATTTGTCTACCAGTGCTATGGATTATGGTATACAGGAAACACGTTAGTTCATAAAACTCAATGCTCAAACTGAACAGTCATTCCAAACTCCTTATCACAAAAGCAGCATACTATTTTTTACTAAATGGAAGAAAATGTGCCAACAGAATAACTGCCAGCATGCTTTATAAATGATCCCATGCTAGAGGACTTAAACTGTCTCAATAAAAGTAGCCACTTCTAGTCACAGAATAGATAGATAGATACAAAATATAGCTGGCTCCTTTTGTAAGGCAAACAATGTATTTTAATACGCATGTCCTTTTGACAGGTAAGGCAAACAATGCCTATCTTAATATGTGTTTTGTCTGAAGCAATAAGTAGCTATACTCTTAATGCTGTATAAACCTTTCAGTCCTCAAAAGGCATCCATATACTGCCCCCTGACTGGTCTAGGAAGTATGTCACAGTGACACAAGGTCATGTCTGCTCCAAGTGTAATCCCCCCATAGATGTAATGTAGCTACCTTTGAGTGATGCTGGGCACATGCCAATAAGCTCAGTTTCAGAAAAATGTATTGGCACATGCCTAGTGCTGTTCTAAGATAGCTACATTACATCTCTTTCACTGTGCAGCATACACATACCATGCTTTGCTGTAGTACTCTCTCTACTCAGGAGCAGAAATGCTTGAAGAAGCTTTCGCAACCAACAGTATTTAGAGGACTAGATTATGAATGCTTCATATATCAGGACAGCAGCACTAAAATGTATCCTTCTAGCTACAGGGGTTTAGGTTGTAGCCGTGTTGGTCTAAGGATATATACAACACTTTCCAGAGACGAGCCTATGAGCTCCATTTCATCAACCTGCTGGATACTAGAGATCAGGGACTAAACATAGACATTGGATTTTTGATACATTACAATCTGCCTGGCAACTGACTCCCCAGCCCAGCCTCTGGCTTCTTTACTTTTCATTCCATCCAGGAAGAGCACACACCAACTGCTGAAGCTTCCTTAGCCTGACGAAGGGTTTTTAAACCCGAAAGCTTGCTTAATAACTATTCTCCAACCATTTGGGTTGGTCTAATAAAAGATATCAAATTCACCCAAGGAACCTTGTCTGTCCTTCTAGCTACTGCCCATGAAGGCAGAGAGCAGGCCCGACTCATTCGTACATGGAAGAGGAGAGCTGCATTCTGCAACTGTCCTAGTCTCTGAGTTAATGTCAATGAAAACAGGGGTAACAGCTCCTTGTATTTCTCCAAGTACTGACCCTGTCTTGTAGCAGGGTCAGTACTCAGAGAAGTATCTGGCTGCTATTATTCTTGACCGCTGGCCACAACAGAAAGAAATCCAGGGCGACCCCCGCTATCTTCCTACTTGAATCCCTTAGTGATAGACCCACACAAAGCAGAAAGATCCTCAAAAGTCTCCTTTGTTCACCAACATAACTTCAGTGCTGTCAATGCCAGACTTGGCAGTGGAAAAACAGTTCTAGTCCGCTTGGTGGAGTGTCCATTTCCTGCACCCCTCAAATCTGACATAACATTTAGTGTTTCCTTTATAACAGCAGTTTGGGTATGGGCTGGGTTTCAGAAACTTTTGCTCTTCCCTACATGCCTAGTCTTAATATGACTTTGTTAGTGCAGCTATTCTAGTACTACTACTTTTTTTTTTTTTTTTTAAAGAAGCTTATGTGTTGGTATGAAGCAGTTTCATATAAAGATGGCGGCCTAAACTAATCTTCAGGCTTACCACAGCAGGAAGTTAGAAAAAACAAGCATGCCCATTTTAATTTTTTTCAGGTTACAGGATGACAAAGTGTCTCAATATTGTGTGAGGACACAATATCAATTTGCAGCTGAAAGTAGAGGCTTTAATCCAAATGATATTCGACAAGCATTAGGTCAGCCTTTCTAAGTAACATTTGCTACCTTGACCATGGCTGCTTCCAAAGAACAATCTGGTAGTCCTGGACCGTCCATCATTCTAGCAGTGAGATAAGCCATGCTCTCAATTACATATGCCTTCACAGTCATAAGAGCAAACTTCTCCTGTCAAACAGTAACCAAGGACAGAGAAACATTCATCAGGCATTCACTTAGACACAGAACTGTCAGTCAAGTCAGATGTCATAATAACATTTACTACACAACTAAATGGAACTCATATATGTATTAAGAAATACAACTCAGAGTACAAGATGCAAATTATAATTTTCATAGAAACTTGAAAAGCTCTATATTTGACTAATAAATCCTGCAAGACATTTCTAAACATCAGTGGAGAAGCCTATTTAGACTAAACTTATGCAGATTGAACACCTGGCATGTAGTAATCTGGCAATAACTTTTACCAGCCACCAAAAAACCTGGAAAAGAACCAAAAAAAAAATCTATCATCTAGCCCTTAATTCAGCACATAAATGATGGCAACCACATTTTTAACATATATTTTTGGTTTCTGATTACCTGAATTAATCCAAAATCGCTCAGTTTCTTATTGAACTGTTTTCTTGTACAAGCATACTCTGCTGTCATTTCTTGAGAGAGAAAAACATCTTATAATTAAGTGCAATTTAAAGCAATTTTAAGATATTTTTGAAAGCAAAACTTATTTGTTCACGTAATCTCAACTATTTAAAAACAACATGCATCTACCATTTATTTTTTGTGAAAGAGCTTCACAGTAAGTAGTGACATTTGTTTATTAATCCTATTACTGTGGGAATTCACCAGTTATATGAGTGAAATTCATTTTAGAATTAACAAAACTCATGTCCCATAAAGAAATGTACATGTAGATGTACAAAGAGTATCTTTAGCTAAAAGAAGATCTTTAACTAAAACCAGAGCATGTCTGGTCAAAAATTTTCCAATGGGGCGATTTTCTATTGGAAAATGCTGATTCAACACAAGTAAAACAGTCTGTAGGAGCATGTTGATTCCATGGGAACTTTCAAGAGAAACCAAACAGGGAAGCTGGCCAGCTGATCAACCTAGTTTCCTGGCAGCCTGTGCTGGCAGGCTACCAATGAAGCCAGTAAACTCAAAAAGCATATTTCAGAAATACCAAACTGTTACTGCAGTAGGAATATCTCTGAGTTTTTGCAACCAATGTGAAAACTGGATATTGAGTCTTGGTTCCAATTAGAAGCAACTTTTCTAAAGACCAAAACATCTGGGGTGAGGGTGAGTGGGATATAAATCCATTTCCAGGCCAGGCCTAATGGTGATTTGCATTATAAGAGCAAATATACTGATATCACAGAATGGTCTATTTACAAACCACCCTATTGCACACCAATCTCCCACTGTAGTGCCAGTATTACAATTCCTCCAATACACTAGTTGCTGATATCTTCTTAAGTAGAACGAATAGGCAAATGAATATTTAAACACAGGTTTGAAATGATAGTAGAAGCGGGGTCAGGGGTGACTGCTTTAAAGGAGTTCCAATAGGAAGATGCTCAACTATGTCCCCAGACAAAAAAAAAAAAGAAAAACACATATCAACAGTTTTTATGATAAAATACTAAATACCCTAAATACCAAGAAAAACTTTGAGATCTTTCTTTTAACCAGTTTTGATATGCACTGGCAGAAGCTGATTTTAATAGGTTCTACTACCACATTTGCTTGACTACAAGATGACCCTGAATGCAAGATCCCCCCCAAATAATTAGATTTTACACATGGAAAATATTTAAATTTATTATAATTTTCCATGTATGGAATCTAATTGTTGGACGATCATCTTGGATTCCTCCCCTCCCACTACTACAGGGGGTGGGAGAGAAAGGTGATGAGGGGGCAATAATGGGGTAGGTGGTAGGGGACACAGTGCTGTGGTAGGGCAGGCAGGGGGGCAGTAATGGGGCAGGCAATGGGGTGCAGATAGTAGGAGGCAAGCAGCATGGAGCTGGTGGGGTAGGCTCCTGCTACATGGCCAGGTTGGAGCCATGCTCCATGTCTCAGGCTGCAGCAGAGATGGAGCCTGCCAGTGAGGAGCAAAGGTAAGGAGAAGCACAGCAGAGAGGGAGAGAGAAGAAGCAGCAGCATGGGGGGGCACGGGTATCTGCAGGGGAGGAATGGCAGGTGGGATCTGTGGCTCCAACTGCAGCAGCAGCTGCCTGCCCTTGCCCCTCCCCTCCCACCCCCCACTGCCTTGTGCTTGATTGTAAAGGCAAGGGGCTTTCTCCACTCCCCGTGTTAAATGGGGTGGAACCTCATCTTCTGAGTAAATACAGTATATATAAAATGTAATCCCAAATTACTTCACAATGTTCCTTTGAGACTGAATGGCATACATACTATTTTCCATATTTGGCTGCTTTTAAAAATAAGTAAATACAACTTTTAAAGTCCACTCTATTAGGATCTTTACATCAGAACAGATTATCACAGAACACTTCTCTTTTGCATCAACTGAAAAAGCATAACATTTTAGGAGCTGTAAATTGTTTTAAGAATTACAGATAGACTTGATAGCTGAAAACAATGCTGCAGTTCCAAGTGGGTTGGAGAAGGTAGAGACTGCAAGCTTCTCTTTTGTATGGCAAAACAAACAAACAACTTTTACCTATCAACTTCTTAATAATTCCTACAGATGCACTCCCCATGCTAATCCTTGAATTACTCAGGATTTTCATAGCTACCTGCAAAGAAACACAGATCATTAGTCAAGAGTTAACACTTTCAGTAAAGCACACTGTATTTTGTGAAATGCAAATCTAATGAAGGTGAAACAAACTTCCCTTCAGAAGTTTCTCAGAAAGGATACCCAACTTAATGTGATTCGAGTTGTTATCTACAGCTGTATCAGACACAGTACACTCCAGAGGATTTTCTTAGTGTGAAGGACTATGTACCAAACACCAACCAAATAGTAAGGTTTCAAAGACTGGGCTCCAAGGCTTGAAACAGATGTTGCTAAATGAAGCAGATCACCTGTACCAGGATACATGAAGGCACAGCTGATCTGCTTCATTGGGCAACACACACATTGCCCCTTGTCCCATTCATTGATCCTGCAGGACAATGGCCACATGTTCTTCATTTCCAAGGGTGTACCCCAGATATTGGGGTTCCTGGAGATTCAGGGCTTTCCACTTGCAGATCCACGGCCCCTGCACTTTCCCTGCCTGCAGAGCCAGGGAACCAGGTCCAGTAGGTATTTTCTATACATTATTTAGATTTCACATGGCTAGCAGAATCCAGCTATGCAAACTAGTCAGCCTTCCCTTATCTTAGGGCCAGTTAACTGCCTGGAAACTTAGATTCTGGTATCAGGACTCACTTTGCCCATCTTTCAGATCAGGAATGAAAGTGAGAAGGACAGAGTCACAAGGTTTACTTTTACCCAATCATTTCCTCTCTTAGGCTGGCTTGTACTGGGACACTGTGCGGCCTCCCCAAGTAGTAGCACTGTGAAGTGGCACAGACTGGGCTTGCAAGGAAGGAAAGGAGAAAACTATTTTCAACAAAGATCAAGAACCATAATTAAAGAGTCAGGGAGGAGGATATACATATTTCCAAAAAAGAAGTTACATCCTGCAGGATTCATCTCATTTTAAATGAGCCACATTCCTCTTCAAATTAAAAACAGACAATTATTCAGTTCAGAACTTTAGTTTAGAAACAGGTAAAAAGAAATTTGTTAGGGAGCAAAATTTCCTGGTTTTCAAGAGTAAGAGAGACATTGAAAGGGCAGGAGGCAGGGGGGGGCAGGGGTGGGGGGAAATCTACTAGATGCATACCAGGCAGAAGATAGCTCCTGTAAGTCTCTCTAATGCCATGTGTTTGTGATTAGCAGTGACAACGTAAGAAAAACAGAAAACATAGCAATAAGTAGGAAAATGGATGCTATTTTTTTGGCCTTTGACATTTCATTTTGCATCCCAGCAGTGGTCTTCACAGTTCTGACTACTCATTAGGAGCACAAATGAACAACAATAGAACACAAAAGAAGACTACGGATGAGCACAAGAGAATGCCTCATAAATAGTGATAATATAGTACACACTCAAGTAAAATCTCAGGAACCTACAGAAAAAAAGTATCACGCAACTTTAAAGGAGTGCTGGACTCAGGTAAATATGTTCTCAGAGCCTCTGTTAAAATATGGCCAGGGAGGAAAGCATCTTCTGTTTTTCCATACTATCATTCTTCTTTCTAATACAATGCATTGTACCAAGAAAGCAGGGCCATCAAAGGAATCTTAACAGAGCTAAGTCTTGTTTCTTTAAATATGCTTTCAAAATTTCAGTGATAATCTTACTATTAGAAAAATTAATTAAGAAATCAAGAGCTATCCCATTGTCACAGAACAGGAACTGAAAAAGTCAGTCACCTCAGCCAATGTTCAGCATCTTTAAATCAATTAACACAGATTCCTGTAGGTGATAATCTTCCTCCCATGGACTAAGGAGGTGAAGGGAATTAAAAATGAGATATAGAGAAAAAAAAAAAAACAAAAAACAAAAAAAACACACCAGGTGTGCTCAACTTGGTGACTGGTAAAGACCACACAGGCATCACTAAAGAAAGTTTAAAGCAATGGGGAAACTGGGAATGGCTTTGTAGGCTGTCACTTTATTGCCACCAGGCAGCCAGAAAGTTGATGCAGACAAAAAAAAAACCCCAAACAAAACACATCAAACAGAATGCCTGATATTTGAGAAAATATATATAACACTATCATCAATATATGCTAGTTACAGAAGAGAAGTAAAATGGACCTGGGTAAAAAGTGTTCAAAATCAGCATTCAGAAGTTTTATGGTTCAGAAGATTAAGAGGAGTGTGCTAAAATCAAATAAGCAAATGTTACATCTTATTAACTCAAAACTATCATAAATGCAAAATTCTGAGGCAACAAGGAATAAAAGTATCTGAATTTCTGCTTTGTGGTTTCCATTTTTCCAGGTATTGTTATGCTGTAAATGTAATGCTAAACCTAGAGGGATGTTAATTCAGGAGTTTTGCACTTAGATTTCTATGAAAATGCTGTAATGCACCTCTTTGGACTATCTAAAATATTTATGCAACCCTTCTCTGTTATCCAAGTTACTAATATGGCAGAAGGTGCTTTAAAACTCTCCAAACTACTAAAGAAAGAAAAACTATGACTTCTTAATGTGAAGGAATATGTACCAAACACCAACCAAATAGTAAAGTTCCAAAGACTGGACTCCGAGGCTCGAAATGGATGATGCTAAATGAAGCAGATCAACTGTGCCAGGATATGTGAAGGCACAGCTGATCTGCTTCATTGGGCAACACACACGTTGCCCATCGTCCCATCCATTGATCTTGCAGGACAATGGCCACATGTTCCTCATTTCCAAGGGTGTATCCCAGATATTGGGGTTCTTGGAGATTGCTGAGGCAATGTATCTGCAAGTAGGAAACCCTGACTTTCCCTGCCTGCAGAGCCCCACCTGTAGCAATCTAGTCACTGGATGTGTGGAACCCCGACTTTCTCAGCCCTGGAGATGGCTACCCCTCCCAGTGCCACCACCACATGCACCACCCCCACCCACCACAAGACCAGCCTCCCTGCTGGGAAGAGGGTAGCACAGCTCCCACCCCCGACCCTCAACCCACACACAAATCCAAGGGGTACGTGCCCCCTATGCCTTCCCCAGGGGTATGCACAGTGACATGGAGCCACCCCCCCTCCCCAAGCACCCTCTTGGATAAGCCACCTGTAGCTCTGTCCCACTCCCGGGGTCACATTCACTGCCCTGGCTGGGCAGCACTTGCCCCTGCCCCACTCCTTCCCTCACTGTGGTGGCCTCAATCTGGCCCCCCTCCACCCTGCGTGCCCCTTCCCTCCCACAGACTTACTGGCAGGAGGCTGCTTCTCCAAGCTGCCCAGCTGCATTTCTGGCCATGTGCATGCTGTGGCTGCGTGCATGCACACAGCATTTATTGGTGACATTATCGGCTACACAGGCCAAATAAAGCCAATTGCCAATAACGTTAATTTTCCTTTTATCAGTGCTGATCCAATATGCCACTGTGCATCTCTAAACCACGTAATAAACAATCAACCAAAAGGATCCACGTACATACAAGAACTCTTGCCCCCCCGCCACACATCATACACCACAAAGCATCCACCTAAGATTGATAGAAAAATCTACGGTAGGCCACAGGAGGACAGCATAAGAGACACAGGCACCACCAATGCCTCGGAAGCCTGCAATAACAAGGAATTTGGTAGGTAACATCTAAACATGCAAAAATGGATCATAGCCCACATTCCAAAAGAAGGCAAAACACTCCCAACAATCCTTGCCAATCTGGCCTGGAAGAAAATTCCTTCATAGCTATAACTTTAAATATGGTTGGGGATCAATTTCATTGAAAGAACAATAAACCAGTGAGGCATCTCAGGAGTTCCTTAGTACCATTAGGCACATGAGTGCACCCAACTCAATATCTCCCACAGGAAAAAAGAAAAGTAACAGAAGCTAAGAAATGCAATGAATAGAGAAATGAAAGAAAAAAAAATGTTCCTGACCCATGCAGACAACTACTAAAATGAGGGAAGACCACCCAATTCACAAAGAGCATCACAACTGCCTGCCCTGGCCTGCCTGACCTGCATATGCAATTCCTTGTCATGCCCAAAAAACACACATTCATCTTCAGCCCAGTACTACCCCAATGTAAAATCTATTCCAATCTAGTACCAGTAAGTCACTTCTCTCTAGCTTTAACCTGCTACCAGCAAAATCAAGAAGCCTTATACCTGTAATCATCTCCCACATAGGTAATCAACCCACAGTGACGAAGGGACTATCTAGACATTTAGGTACAGGCATGATAGGATCTAATGTATGATGCACACAATCGTGCCTCCTGCCATGCCAGATGTGGAAAGCCAGAGGTTGTAAGATCCAGCATCAGTTTGCATCCACATGCCTTACTGACAGTGTAGGGGAAGCCCAGAATTGCAATCCCAGGCTCCTCCTGTGTGGATGAGAGACTCATCTGCTGATGAGACTCCCATCTGTGGCAGCACACCTGAGGCTGTCAGTTGACGGGCTCTTAGCTGAGGGGGCATAGCTATGCTACATGCGCAAATTAAAGTTGAACAGAAACCAGCTATAAAGTTAGCACTTTTTATGGAATAATAGCTAATTTGCACATGTAGTCTGTCTAAATTAATTATCCAATTAACACAATTGTGGGGGCCTAAGTTTCCTTTCAACCCTTGTCTACTGATATCAAATGCTCAACATTTCCTATCACAAGTTATAACTGCTACTCCCAGAACATACTTCTATTTCATGGTGACCAACCTTCTTTGGCAGGTGTGCCACAAAGTAAGCTCTGCCCTCTCCCCAAGCGCCTCTCCAATCCCCTTCCCCTGCCTGATCCCCTGCTCTACTCTCTCTTCCCTGCCCAGTCCATCACTATTCACTCTGCTCCCTGCCGATCTGCTGCACACCAAACAAAATGGCTTCACATGACATTTTTGACGTGTGTGATGCAGGTTGGCCACCCCCGTTCTATCCTATTGTACTAAGCCTTCCATATGCTTCCAAGCTGTCTTGAAGCAGTTTAGGTTCCTTGTTCAGAAGGCCAATCAAGAACATCACTGTTCTGATACTGAGAAACTCTCCAATTTCTAAAATGTATTTATGACCAATTTGTGCTCATTTCATCATATACCAATACAAGCTAAACATAACAATGTCTTTTTTTCCATCTCTTCTCATAAGATAGGCCCTTCATGCCTATAATCATCATAACAGAACTTTTAACGAAATTGCTCTATTTTACACCCATCATTTTTAAACTAAGTGACCAGAACTGTACACATGGGTTCTTTCCAATGCTTGGCACAATGGTACTAGTAATCTATCTCCACTAAAATATCATCCAATACATTTTAGGCATTTAGCTGCCTGTTCTTACAGTAAGAACAGCAACACCACAATGGCAACTTGTGGTCATCCTACATCGGGGTGGGCAAAATATGGTCTGTGGGCTAGATTTGGCCCATGGAGGGATTTTGCCTAGCCCACGGTGGGTCTCTTGGTCCTGCCCAGCCCAGGCACAAGAGGTAGCCCAGGGCACAGCACATGCAGCTAATCATGTCACCCCTGGGCACACATTGGGGCTGGAGTGGTGCAGTGGCCAGACTATTTCCGAGCAACCCCAGCAGCAATGGCTCCTTCCAGCTGCCACTGCCAGGCCTGACCCCACTGCCCAGGTACCACAGCCCATCCACCCTGCACCCACTGCCAGGGGTAGGACCCAAGTGGGCAGGGTGTGAGGTCAGGTGGCTGGGATGGCAACATGGGCTGGAGGAGAGTGGTGTGCAGGGGCGAGACAGGCGGGTGGGGTTGGGGACACCCCGGAATTTTGAGGTGGTGACAGTGAGGGGCTGGGGCAGAACTGCAATCTCTGCTCCCTTTATGCCCCTGCCTGCAGAACCCATGCCCATTGCAGAGGCATGTGAGAAGTGAATCATGGCTCTGCACTGGGCCCCAGCCTCAGCCCTGTGCTGTCACCACCCCATGATCCCAGCCTTGCCTGCCTGTCCCACTCCCAAACACAGCTCCCCACCCACGGCCCCATGCCACATAGGGAGTTTTGGAGAATTGTTGCATGGTAGGGAGTGCTGACACAGTCCGCGACAGCTCAGCAAAACTCCTTATGTGGCTTGCCGGCTCAAATAATTGCCCCCTTGTCCTACATTCATCTGATACACTCATGTCCCTCTCCTCTTTCAAGTTAGGAGGTCACAGATGGCCATAAACTTCTTGGTATTAGACCTTAAATGCACTTGTTTGCACTTGTGTACTATTATCATTTCTATTACTCCAGTTCACAAGGTCATCTAATTCTTGCATGATAATCTGATGTGTCTCTGTACAGTATTGGCAATATTTCCCAACTTTGTATCATCCACAAATTTCATAAACAAGCATCTGGCTCTACTGACCTTTGTCCAAATGAAAATATTAAATGGGATGGGTCCCAAGCAAGGTTGCCAACAGTCCATAAATTTACAGAAACTTCATAGACATTTTTAGTTTGGTTATTTATCTGTAAATTCTGTAAAGAAAACTGCTGTCCATAAAAACACAAAGCAAAAAACAGCTCTGAGTAAAAATCCATCTGAGTAAAAAAAGAGCTCACTGAAACTCTGAGGTCAGACAAGAAGCTAGATGCAGTGTTGAAATACAGACAGAGCACAGCAGGACCACCTGGTGTCCAAGCAGAAGTGCAGCACACAAAAGGGGCTCTTAAATTTGTGGCTCCTTCCCTAACCCTCAGCCATGTACTGCTGCTTCTCCTGGTGCTGCCTCTTGTCTGCCTATGGTACTGCTAGGTGGCAGGTAGGCAGGCAGACAGTGGCCCACCCTTGGGATCTCCCCCATGTTCTTCACAAACTTCACCTATGGATCTCCCACCTCACACCCCTTTGCCCGCACCACAGTCTCCCCTGCATTCTCTCCCCCCACCCTGCTATGCAGCCTCTCCCACGTGCCCTCTTTGGCCCTGGAACCAAGGCAAAGCCAGAGCTGGGTCACCGCCACCTGCTCTGCCCCAGGCCAGTATCTAAATCTAAAATGAGACTTCCCTCCCCACAATACTGATGGGGAAGAAAACCCTGTCATGTATTTGAATAAATATGGCAAATATAAGTCTGGGCCTGTGGGCTGCATAGGAAGGCTCTGCTAGTGGTTGGCAGGTTGGTTTGAGGTTAGCTAGAAAAGCAGAGCTGAAGGATGGGTGAATTTCAATGAGATATCTGAAACTTCACCCATAAAAAATGTATTTGCATGAAGGGAGCAATCCACAATCGTTCAACTTTCTCCATCCTCACTATTAATCCGTCTCTTGGCACAGAGAAGAGAGAGAAGAAGGAAAAGCAGAGAGATCCTAGCGTATGGCCTACTCTCCCCTGTGGAAAGACTTGCAACTTCTGTGGATGGATCTGTGGCTCAAGGATTAGACTCTTAAATCAACTCAAGACCCATCAATGAGCCACGGTAGAGATCATCCTCAAATCAAGGAGTAATCATTATCATTGGTAATCTGTCCCACAGTATAATGTATTCCCAGGCCACAAAAGAGTTGAAGCTCATTAACTTGTTCTTATCAAACAGTCATTTTAGACAGAAAATATTTAACCAAAGCAGGTCCCTTTTCATGGGTCAATTATGGGGTCTTGGTAAAGAAAACACTTACTATCATTACCCTAATCTTTTTGCAGGTGTTCAGAAAAAGTGTACATCATCCCAGCTTCATCTCCCAACTCCCCACTTTCTCCAGATTCATGAAAATATCTGTTTCCGATAGTTTAAAATTATTTTTGAAAGTTCGGAGGTTCATTAAAAATTGTGTTCATAGTATCATCAATGAAACTCCAGTAACCTGAGCTGTTACATCTAGTGCTGAAGTTCCTGAGAAAAGGAATGTAATTAAAGTTCCAAGAGCATAACATGACAAGGTTCCTTGGGTGAATCTGATATCTTTTATTAGACCAACCCAAATAGTTGGAAAATAGTTATTAAGCAACTATTTGGGTTGGTCTAATAAAAGATATCAGATTCACCCAAGGAACCTTGTCTGCCTATGTCCTGAGACCAACACGGCTACAACCTACACCCAAGAGCATAACATGGCATTCATTTATGATACAAGTGAAAGAAGATAATAGACTGAACTAATACAGTGCACAGAAGATAAACTCACCTTCTTTTGGTTTTACCAATTTAATGTAAAAAATTAATAGTAAAAGCATTTTAAACAACATGACTTAATTTAAGTGCCTTTTAGTGTGATACTAGATACAGAACTTAAAATATTCTGTCTGTTGAAGAAATCTTTTGGTAGTTTTAAGAATAATGAGTAATTCTTCAAAACTCACCTCAAACCCTCCTCCTACTTCTCCAATAACATTCTCTACAGGCACTTTTGTGTTTTCAAAATGTACTTCACAGGCTGAAACAAAAATGTTGTTAAATTATTTTAAAGCTTGTGTGTGTGTGTGTGTGTGTGTGTGTGTGTGTGTGTGTGTGTGTGTGTGTGTGTGTGTATATATAGCAATAAAACATTCAGGACTATAATTTACTAATTTTGTAAGAGATACTAGACTTTTCCCAATATATCATCTAATACAGGCTTGTCCAACATATGGCCCATGGGCTGCCATGCAGCCCTCCAAGCTGTTTTCTGAGGCCCAAGGTGCTGCGACAGGAAACAAAAGTAAACACTGTAC